ATAACATTCACATTTCATGTCAGATTTACAAGAGAGTATATGTAAGTAAGTTTTTTTTATAAATTGAAAACCAAAAGTTTGTTTTTGGTTGTTTTGCTAATTTTCTTTCTCCAAACAATTCCTAAATCTATGCATGGAGACACAACATAACCTGTATTAAACAGAGCGGATCTAAAAATAAGGCTTTCTTTCCTGTTTTTTCATCATTATTAAAATAAGTGTAAGTTGAAGAAATAAACAGGTATCCCAAAGTATAAACATCCCATAAAGGTCTTGTCACTTACTTGTGCATAATACAAATATATTTAAAAAGCAAATACAGCTGATTTTCATTCCATGCAGAAATATTTGCAACGTGAGAGGTATTTTATCAGCAAAAGAGGTATGTCGCATATGCATCTTATTCGCAAGAACATTTAGAATGTGCATTCAGCAATTAAATATATTGATACAATGGAGAGTTCTCATCTGGGATTATAGTAGTAATTGTATTAACAGCATGTTTTTGTTGTGAAATATCGCATGATAATGTCGGAAAATACTGCTGATAACGCAAATCAATCAAATTGCCCCATCGTCAACCATCAAAGATCGATACTGTTACATTAGGAAGTTATTGGTAAATGTCCAAACAGTTGATTCTGAATTACTTCACATAAAAATATCTTGGTTCCTTATTTGGTAATTTCCAAAGAAAAACTTAAATCATGTATTCATATGAATACTAACTACATGATTTGCCTACAAACTATAACAAATCTGCCATTTTGTTGTAAATATTATCACAGAGGTTGGGGAAACTTCTTGTAAAACATTCATCTACAGAGGTATGATTAAAACAGTACAGTTTAACACAAAAAACCTGTATTTACACTGAGGAGAACTTCATAAAACTTCAGTTATAGTATTAAGTGTTTCCATATACTTTTTGAGTAATGGTTCTGGCACACGTCAGTAAGTGCTCCCTAAACCAATACCATTTGAGATACCGGAGGACCTATACAAGAGAGAGAGAGGGAAGGAAGGATTTGGGTATTATGCCACTTACAGCTACATGCCAGCAATAGGGGACACCGTAAGGGACCATTCATAATTTATGACTGGGGGTGTGTGTGATGATGATTTTTATAGAAAAGCATGTTCAATGTGAATGACCCTCCTCTAAAATTTATGTACAAAGTAAGTGATATCCCCTGCATGTCATGTACAAATTCAATCACCCCCCACCTCCTTTCCCTTAACTTTAAAGCATAATTTTGTAATATTTTTACACACACACACCCCTTACTGCATGTGTACAAAATTGATGACCCCCTACCTCCCAGGAACAAAGTGGGTGAACACACACCCCCACCCCCTCTCTAAATTATGAATGGTCCCTAAATGGGTTTGAATCAAACCCAGGTGTTTGGAGCGATGAGCAAATCCTATAACCACTTGCCTATCCAATCGACTCTTATCACAGCTGGATAGACAAAGAAACATACTTATTTAGGGGAGTTTTTTCAAAACTAAGTTAGGATTTTTTAAGACATATATTTCCTAGGTCAGACCAATTATATTTCTTGTTTTATGGATTTTTGTCCTCAGAAAACCTAAAGGCAGGAGAAAAAAAGAAAATCACCAGTCAATATAATATTCCATTTAAATGCTAAAAGTATTTTACATATGGCAGTTTATGAGGTGTATATGGGGCAAAAACACTCTAAAAAATTTCTTCTAAGTATATATTTTGAGCCAATAAAAACAGGATTTTATTTTTTGAGCGGGAAAAATTGCTTTTTATTTTTTATCTTGTTCTTGAAAAACTATGACTGGTGGATCTGTAAAACAAAATAAAATTGGTCTGGCTTTATGTTAGATTACAAATCTGTGAAAGTGAACTTGTGTCAATGGGCCCTAGAGAGGTAGTTTATGGAATGAAGAGATGACTCAAGACTTTAACCAGTAAATAAGACACACTTTGAATTACATTGGGGAGTACAAAAACTTGGAATCTGGTGCCAGAATCAAATCGGGACTTGAAGTCATGTTTCTTAATAATAGTGTTTAAAATAAGGGGAATACTTTACGTTGTATAATACCATCATTTAAACTGCCATACCATCATATCGTATATGCAGTCCACAATACCTAAAGCCAATTTAATTGTTACTATAAATAATATTTCATTTCAGTATGTAATATGCTCATGTTTGATGATTTCTCTATATTTGCTTTCTTACAGATTCTTTCATGCAGGCCACTTCCATACAATGAAGGACTGATTGACACATTTCGAAACCCTCTGGTGAAAACCGTGAAAGAAGCACTGAGATACGCCCATAGGGGCCAAAATCACCGTGGTTGGAAAAGTGGAACAAGTTAGTATTATTAGGGAATCACATAATTCTAATCAATTCGACGTTATTTGATAATTTGTCTCAAAACAGTACCAGATGTAACATTAAAAACTAAACAAAACAAGAAAAATATTTTCATTTACAAAATAACAATTTAAATATAAGTTCACATTTTGTGTCATTTAATTAGTGAATTCCTTTCTGTCAAGATGTCACAGGCATTTGAGGCTGATTTAAAGACGGTCACGCTCGCAGAAGAAAATCACAACATTGCCGTAAAACTCTGGGGTAATTAATCATCGTTGGATGCCCCAATGAATCAGCTCATTAAGGTTTCGCATGTTTGTACAAAAGAGTACAAATTTAAAAAAGACCTGAACTCCACAAGTTTGACGACAGTTGAGGTGAGCAACAGATGATTTTGAATACCCTAGTAAATGACATCTATGAACACATATTACTTAGAAAACAATTTACTTAATTTCTACCATCTGCATCATTCAGGAAATATATCTTAAAAGCTCTATTGTAATATATGCTTAAGGAAGTATAATGTAACATTTTGAAAACACGAAACAATTGTGTGATAAAAAAAAACATTCATTTCTAGACTCATCATATTCTCTTGTAGGTAGTCGAACAAAAAGTAGAGATGATGGAAGGAGAGGTGGATGGAATTGGATTTGGCGAGTAAGTAAATGTTTAAGTTGATATTCACACCATCGATGAATACCATGTATTTACTTTATATTTTTTTACTTTTTAAGCATTACATAATTCAAGGGAATATCATTGCCACTGTTTATTGAATAGCACTGACCCTTGGTGCAAACCAGAATCCCAGTCATTAGTAACAGGTAAAGAAATGGTGAGCTCACAGCAACACATCTGTCTCAGTATTTCTATGAGACATAGAGTTCTTGTTTGACATTACTGAGAGTCAACATCTATACCTAGGTTTGCTTGGCATCACTAGAGTCAATAGAGACAGCATCTATACCATGGTTTGCATGATGTTGTTACATGGCATTACGGTGAGCCCAAAGAGACAGCATCTATGCCTGGGTTTGCATGGCGTTATTACATGGCATTACTGTGAGACCATAACAGATAGAAGCTATCCCTGGGTTTGCATCGCAGTACTGCAAGACCATAACAGATAGAAGCTATCCCTGGGTTTGCATTGCAGTACTGCAAGACCATAACAGATAGAAGCTATCCCTGGGTTTGCATTGCAGTACTGCAAGACCATAACAGATAGAAGCTATCCCTGGGTTTGCATCGCAGTACTGCAAGACCATAACAGATAGAAGCTATCCCTGGGTTTGCATCGCAGTACTGCAAGACCATAACAGATAGAAGCTATCCCTGGGTTTGCATCGCAGTACTGCAAGACCATGACAGATAAAAGCTGTCCCTGGGGTTCATGGCAGTATTACATGGCATTACTGTGAGACAATAGCAAACAGCACCTATGCCTGGGTTTGCATGGCGTTCATGTGAGCCCTCAGCCACAAGACTGATCCCTCACATGAAAGAGCTGATCGTGCAACATGAAACAGCAGGGAACCCCTCGTTTCTAGTGTTTAGTGTAGATCCAAGGAACAATTTAACACTGGGTCCATGGACACAGCAGCAATCACATAACGATACGGAATAACAGCAGCAATCAGTTCATGGTTGACATGACAACACTGTAACTGAGTATTTGGTCCATGGACTAATAGCAATCACATGTTAGGAAATAACAGCAACAATCAATGGGTCAATGGTAGAAAGGGATAACATCAACATGGCCTAAAATAATACAAGATATCACTCAGAAGTTAAAGAATTCTCTTCTTTCAAATCAGAGTCAGCCTGTCACAGCATGACAGATGAACTATTGCAATACAAAAGGATCTTTCTTTAACTACAGTGAGTAGCACAGTATTCATTAAACAGAAAAACATAGCAATGTTAATATACAAATCCTTTGGGGTGGCACTGAACAGGAAATACAAGAATCCAAAGTGGGCTATTGATCAACAAGACAAATTTCTAAAACAATACTACATCACCACATATTGCAGATCTGAAAAACTTCAGACATCCTGAGATCCAAATAATCTTTACAACACAAATTTACAATTATTATTCACAACAAATAATATTCTTGCATTCAGCAAAATATTTGTACAATTTCCTTACTTATTTCAAACATGACATATAGACCAGACTATTTCGTATCTGTTGTCACTAAGCTAACATACATATGGCATAGTTGATGAGGATGAAGAGTAAAGTACAAGACGATTTGGTTTGGTTGTTGTTTAACGCCACACTCAGCAATATTCCAGCTATATGGCGGCGGCCTGTAAATAATTGCGTCTGGACCTGACAATCCAGTGATCAACAGCATGGAGTACGAGAAGAAGGAATCGTAACCATCATTTGATATTCTGGAAGGAGACTGGGACTTCATCAAGTGTTCACCAAATAACCCCACTCAGGTAACAAACAAACTCCCAAAAATATAAAAAATTTAAAAAAAATTCCAAAAAGGAGTCCCAGAGAAAGTTTTAAAAAATTATTCATTTGATATTCAGGGGAGGTAATTTAAAAAAAGAAGTGTTACAAAAAAAAAGAAAAGTTTCCAGGAAGATTGAATTTTTAAAAAAATTTGGTTCGGACTGTTGAAAGAAACTGTGAAAGAATATATTGTTGCAGGGTGTATTTTCTTTAAAATCTGTAGACTCATTGTTTTCATGAAAAGGTGTTTGGTTTTGCAGCTGTACCGGAATAAATATCTTGTCTCCATACAAAATACAAAACTCTTTCCATAATTTCAAATGGCATACACTTAAAAAATAGTCAACATCTCTGACATAGCACAGCCTATGAATTCATTCTTGTTTTGAATAGCAATAATGTTTTCATGATAACGTTACCTTTTGATTTGTTGTCATTACAACCCCACAGAATATCAAATAGCAGATCCCGAAGAGATAAGTTGTTCATGAACAAGTCAGGGGCATTGTTGCCTCATATACCTTGTGACATTATTTATGAAATCATTTCTTTTCCTTGATTATTTTTGAAAATTGTCAAACAAGGATGCATGGTAATTCATGAAGGTTGAACAAATAGCCCTGTTAAACAATCCTCAAAAAGTCACAATTTTCTAAGTGTTCGTGACTCTTTGATGTCCTTGTGTAAGTATATTCCAGGGTAGCTTTGTGAAATCCCATCAATATCCTAAATACAGGTATTATAATGGTCTGATTTGATTGTAAGCGATCAAGTCCCTCAGTTTTCGTGCAGTCAAAATGGATGCAGAAGAACTCCATTTTGCCATCATCCTAGTAAGTATGGTTTTACGCCACTTTTAGCAACATTCCAATAACATCATGGCAGGGGACACCAGAAATGGGCCAATTGTAAGCAATCAGGTCACTCTCAATAGACGCTAAAGAACTCCACTTCAGTATCTTCCTAGCTATTTGTCATTTTATGTCACAAATGTGTGGCCCATGAAAAACCTACAGCCATGAAATCAAGTCCACATTCTAGTCTGAGAGATATTGCATGATCTGACCTGTTGCTGCAGATATAAGACGGAATATGTTATGCATACAAACTGCCTCTGTTCTCGAGCAGACGCAGGAAGATTCGGCTCAGGATGAAAACCATCTGTACATCTTGACCATTCTGTCAGCAGCCAGCTGGTAATCAGACAAGTTGTCAACATAACAATCTCAAAGATGAACGTGACCATCACCGTTTTGCCTTTCAGTGTGTTCTTTGGAACATGGTAACTGAATGGACTAAAAAAACAGACATATCTGTTCTTCTGCTTCCTCCATTCTCTTGTAAATACTGATTTGAAAGTGAAGGACTAATACTATTTCGAGAATCATCCAAGATTAAAGATGCCCTGCAAAAAACGTTTCAAGACCAACAGCAGTCTCTCATAAGATTCTTATGTAAGAGACAACCTTACTTATAAGAATAAAACATGTCTATCAAAGCATTGCAGCATCAAATCTTTCAGAATAGACATGCAAATATTTCAGTATATTCATCAGCAGTAGCAATGGTAACATTTATCATTTCAACAGCATTGTCAGAGAATATTGTTGTGTGACATATTTCTAAAATGTAAATACACAGACATTTTGCAGTATTTCATTCACCTTAACAAGTCTCATTGCAACAATAAACATCTCGGATAGATCATGTTTTAAGCTTGCTAAACGTCCATCTCCTTGGGATAAGAGGTGACGGTCTTGGTGAAGATTTGATTTTCTTGAAATTGTTGTCACTAGCAGATCGTGGCATACCCTTCGGGAATGTCCAAATGTTCAACCGATGGAAACCGCAGCAGTGGTGCTTTAGACAAAACTTCAGAACTTCTCACACATTTCAGTCTTTTCTTTGCTTTTGGATTATCATCATTGTCACTTTTGTCTACATCCAGGAACAAATCGCTCCTTGTGAGCCGATGCTTTGTATTTGGGGTTAGTGGCATTGAATTCAAGATGCCATCATCGTCACTAATACTGATAACAATTTTAACTTCTTCTTCAACAATGGCAGTCATATTTTCTGCATTTTCAGTTTCATGAACAGGACTAGCAATTAACTTGTTGTTTTCATTAGCATCACTTTCACCTTCGATTTCATCACAAATATTCGTCTCTTGAGTATTTTCTCTCATCATTTCATTACCCTTATCAAACACTTCATCACTTCCACAAGAATTATTGTCTTCCATCTTGTTTTCATGTGAAGAAAGTCGGCCATTTGTAATCAGGGGAGCTAACTCTACTGTACTGCCATTTCCAACTTTGTTAGTCGTCCCCCCTGTTGTTTCTCTGAATTTGAACAGTGCTCTCCCCTGTAACAAAGGACTGTTCCGCGGCATTTCATTCTTTTGTCTAACACTGACAATTTTCCCTTCTTTCATAATTACAGATGTCCCATCTTGACGAATGATGGAGGTTCCATTTCCATGTTTGGATGCATTTCGCATGAGTTCCGTGACACTTTTCTCTCTCTTAAAATTTGCCCGAGGATTTTTCTTGATTTGACTGTTAAGACTTGATGTTGAATGATACATGAACTCTGGATCAGGTGAAGAAGGAGAACGTCCAGTGCTCCGTCTAGTTGAGAAGAGGTTCGACAAACGTCGAAATGACATCATCCCGCCATCATCATGTAATGTGTCTGTAAACACAAAATAACACAAACATTACAACTAATCTTATATCTTGACAGAATGGCACCACATACACCATTTTAAATATACACAAAATTTGCTGAACATAAAAAAACATTTATTACAACCATAAATGCAGCTAAAATTACAACAATTTCGCTGAAAAGAAAATACATGATTAAAAATAAAAGCTGAATAATCCATCATATTAGAATAACATCTGTAAAGAGCTAATGCCATATTGTTACCTGTAATAACCAATAATACATATAATAAATTTATCTTGTATATGTTTTAAATGAAATAAAACAAATTTCTCATCAAACATGAATGTATATATTTGGGATAAGAGAAAATGTGCAAGATGCCAAAAAGACACAAAAGATAGAAAAGATGACATTTGTAAATATTGCATAAAATTGAATAAGTAGTCATGACAAAATTCCCATAGGATGCAAAACTGAAATAAAAAGCTATGGCCAGACCAATTTTATTTCTTGTTTTACTGATTTTTGTGCTCAGAAAACCTAAAGGCAGGAGGGAAAAAAAAAAAATAAAATAAAATCACCAGTCAAAGCAAAAACCCACATCAGTTTTCATATGAACTCTTTTGGTTTGTTTATATCAACTAAAAATAAGTTGAGTGAGTTTAGGTTTCACACTGATTTCAAGAGTATTTCACTTATATCACATAAACATCAGGATTTTACTTATTAAGCGGGGATAATTAATTTTCATTTTTTTAATTATTCTTGAAAAAATGACCGGTGGATCCGTAAAACAAGAAATAAAAGTGGTCTGGACGATCTAAAAAATTATATGACACTGAAACACAAACTAAGCATAACCATCCTGTTTACAACTAACAGTCAATAACCAGCACATACAAAAAATAACAGAAAAATGATAATCATGCATACAAAAAATCCATTTTTATTATTAAAATAAATCATAAATATCGAAAGGTAATGAAAAGAAATCAAACTCAAATCATGAAATAAGAGTGAGCAGGCAATGACTTCAAACAGCACAATATAAACGAGGTTACTGCAATACTTATTCATAGTGATGCAAACTTATTGTAGCCACTCGGGGCATCAATAATTGGCCATGGACTTCTTTGCAAAAATCAATGTCACGGAAATACGGTATAAAATATGTATTAGTCAGGCCAGGCAAATGTAATTACTTGTTTTACACATCTATCTGTGACTTTTAAACTATTATAAGTAAAATATAACAAATGATACACAATCAATGTCTTCCAACCATGGTAACATTGTTTCTCAAAACTGCATTATGGTGAAGTTTGTTCTCATCTCATTGAGGCATTAAGATTTACAAGAAATGTAAATATAATTGTTTGTTTCAAGCAATTATTATTTTACTTGGCCTATATTCTGTGTTATGTATAACGAGGGTGTCCCATAACGCAGGGGTCATCCATGGACCCCAAGACCTGCATTATGGCAAGGGATGCCATAAAAGACACAATGTAGTAAAAACTACAGACCTGGGACCCATTTCACAAAGCAATTGTAGCGCTAGGGTCATCGTAACTCCCATACTTTAACATAGACTTACGACTGTCGTTGTGCTATGATAGCTTTGTCAAACGGGTCCCTGGAAATTGAATTCCATGAATTTAAAAAATTATTCTATGCTGCTTTCAGGGATGGATGGTTAAAAAATCTCAAAAACAAGTAATAAATAGTTCCAGCCTAATCACAATTTGTTTTATTTAAGTTGCAGCAGCACACCAATTACATCAGATCTACATACCAGCCATTACACTGGAACAAGTGTAAACCATTGACTGTATCACGGAGCATCAGTCCTGCTGTGTGTGGGAGTGAGCCCATATTATTGCTGCAGCAATCATATCAACATCTTATCACAGAAGCCAGACAGCTAAGTCTGTTGCACATGATCCAGTGGTTGATGTCCATGATCTATGATGTTTGGTCATGATAACACAGACAAAACAGTGAAATACAACCGGGCAAATCTTGGAGTACAATGATAGATGACTGATTGATTCAGACCAGACTCTACTGATCAATTGATTGGGCACAATGAGCAATGATGATGATGAGGAGGAGGAGGAGGAGGAGGAGGAGGAGGAGGAGGAGGAGGAATCATCATTGCCATCCTCAAATTCTGAAGCCTCTGAAAACCCTTTGAGAACAACAGATGTATTTTAGATGAATTCGAACATCATCTTAAAGTGAGTCCTACTTCACAGAGATTTATATAGCTGGTGGTGTGGCAGAGTTCTGGAGCATGTCAGGTAGACTGTTTCTCTAAACCATTTGTTTTTATACCCATGATAAAAAGGAGAGGAGACAAGAATGATGATGATGATGATGATGATGATGATGATGGATCTGGACCGAGTTCCTCATGGTAATCTTGAGAGTTAAGGCATTTGTACCTCCCATCATTTAACATGAGAACTGAGGTTGTCTCAAGGTCAAGATCACTTTCAACCCTGAATGGTAATAGACACTGTGTTCAGCGACACTACAGAACACAGAAGCATCTGCACAGTGTCTGTAATGGCAAGTTTGTTAAACCACGCTTTGAACAGTGTTCCAGTTACATCACAGCACGTCAGTTAGATGAGGAAGAGAAGACAAAACTGATGCAGATCTTCCACGTTTACCACTCTGGTGAAACACTGGGTTCAGAGCTCACAAACCTAGAAACACAATCAAGACAAATCTTCAACTTGAGCCCAAGCCAAAGGGACACAACTCTGCCACTTTGAGCAATGGTCCAGCAATATCACGGCTGGGGACACCAGAAATAGGCTTCACACATTGTACCCATGTGGGAAATCAAACCGGGTCTTCGGCATGACGATCGAATGCTTTAACTAATAGACTACCCCACCTCCCAACTAAAACAAGAAGATTGTTGACAGATTACATCATTCTCATTTGGAGCATTTGGTTTACTTCTGATCATTCTGAAATGTCGACAGAGAAGAAAAAAGGAATCAAAACATTTGCCATCCTCAGATATATCAAGTCATCCAACCCTCAAAGTTTGGCCCAGTAGATTCACACTAAAGAGTATTGTACACCAAGTACACCATTTTCCCAGTAATAGGGCCCGTAAGTAGGTCACCTTTCGTTGTTTAGTACTTCCCGTGACAAACAACATCTTATACCTATTCTAATGGTCTCATGGTTCTCATTGGCCAGCCCCCGAACAATCAAGTCTACCCAGCCTTAAAGTATGTTTGGCCCAGTTAGGTTTACACTGAAGAATATCGTACAGGAGGTTCACTCATTTGACAGTAACAGGTATATAGAGGCAGTGATGTCCAAGGAGGCTACATCCACTTTAAGGTGGACTTGCAGTACCGAAAGGCTTTCTACATAATCATTCAATCTATTCCTACTAACACTTTCAAAACAATTTCTACTGCATCAAAACAGAGTGGTTACAAAGATAAAATAGACCTGTAATCGATTTCTATTTTGATTTCAGCGTTGGATTAATCAAATCAAATCCATAAACCACAACAATAAAATTGTTAAAAATTCTCAGGATCATAAATATATGTGTTCATTTTCTCTTTGCTGGACACAATATCATTTAAATAATCACCTCAAACAAATCCACTGCTTGTTTGACATCACCGAGATGAGGCCTGTCTTCTGCCAAGGTTTATATTAACTACCTAAATGTTTAGAGAGTAAAGCCAATTGCTTATCTATAGGATGCATTTCAGATAAATATTTAAAACTTATGCCTGCTAACACCAACATAAAACTGCAGCTGTCGAGCTGCATGGTAATGTATATGTGCAAAATCTGGAGCAATTCATCCCCCCATCAATTCCACAATGAGGATTCCTTGGGAATTTACAACAAATGTCTATGAAAAACACTTCAAGACCCTCCTTGCCTCAACCTGAACCAAAAATGAACAGTTCGAGTGGCAATGGTGCCATGAAAACGGTCATTATTACCATGTGCCAGAAAATTTGGAAGATTAACTGCAAACAGACATCAGATAAAGATATGAGATCAAAGAGAAGTTGATTTTGTAATATAGAAATAAAAATAAAGAAAAAGACACATCCTGAAAAGTTCAAGTAGAGATGATATCATAAAAAAATTACTTTTCACTAAGTGTCAGATAACATGGAAGATGTAGAGTGAGTGAGTGAGTTGGGTTTATGCTGCCTTCAGCAATATTCCACCAATATCACAGCAGAGGACACCAGAAATCGGCCTCACACATTGTACCCATGTGGGGAATCGAACCAGGGTCTTTGGTGTGACAAGCAAACACTTTAACCACTAGACCACCCCACCACCCCATTTTACTGATTGAGTGAGTTGGGGTTTATGCTGCCTTTACAATATTCTACCAATGATCATGGCTGGGGACACCAGAAATGGGCTTTGCATATTGTACCCATGTGATTAATCAGACCTGGGCCTTTGTTGTGACAAGCAAGCACTTTAACCACAAGGCTACCACAGAACCCCTAACTGCCCTATCTGAGACATCGGATAAAGACATGAGATAAAAGATAAATTGATTTTGAAATACAAAAGGACGAACAAACATATCATTAACATCATTCTATTAAATTTTTACAGCACAATTATAACTGCTCAAATGTTTACACCATTATCATGTACTCTTATAACTGCACTTAATTATCTTCCTTGACTCCACGGGTGGTGTCCACCAGTAGGTTCCTAGTCACATCACCATCTCGTCCTACCGGGTACCCATGCCTTGGGTGAATGAGTGAGTGAGTTTAGTTTTACGTTGCTTTTAGCAATATTCCAGCAATATCACAGTGGGGACACAAGAAACTGGCTTCACACATTGTGCTCATGTGGGGAAACAAACCCAGTTTGCAGATGTATTTGATGAATGCCATTGTATTCTGGATAGCTGATCATGGTGTTAATCACTGGATTGTCTGCTCCAGACTCAATTAATTACAGATTGCTGTGATACAGATGGAATATTGCTG